TAGGACGGCGCGCGGGGGCAGCACGCGGAGCTGGGGGAGAGCAGCCCCGCCGCGGTACCCGGGGACGCCCGCCCGGCAGGTCGGCCTGGTGCTCTGCGCGGGGCTCTGGGATGGGACAGACGGTGCCGCCAGCCCCTGTGGTTTGAGGCTTGGTCTGTGTTTTGCAGCTGTGTGTGCCGGGTGCAGCTGAAAGCTGTGGGTGCGTGAGGGCAGGGCGTTCGGTTCCTCCTCTTTCGCGGTCTCTCTGGGCTGTCCCGGCTTTCTGCCTCAGTTTCCTTTCTCTCTCTGTGAGAACTAGTGAGCTCCCTGGCCATCAGCGGGAGAGGGATGGAGCTTCCTTCATGGTGGGGAAGTGGTTGGGGATGGAGGGGCAGGGGCGGCCCCCCGGCGGCCCCCCGAGCAAGGGGGCAGGCAGGCCGCGGTCCCCCGCACACTCCAGCACTCACCAGGCTCTCCTCTCCGCAGGGCAAGTACAGCAAGCGGAAGAGCCGCTTTAAGCGCTCAGATGGCAGCACCTCCTCTGACACGACGTCCAACAGCTTCGTCCGGCAGGTGAGGAGGGCTGGCGGGACAGGGAGCCGGGTGTCCTGGGAGTCTCCTTGGATTGGGGGTCATCCCAGTCCAGCTCTTAGCAGGGGGACGAGGCTGCTGTGTTTATCCCTGGGACAGTGTGGCATGGCCCCCTTCAGGGCTGATTGCGGAGGGTTGCGGGGCTGGAAGGGGGCAGAGCTGGCCCCGGGGGTTTGGCCACAGCCAGCTCTTCCGTCCTGTCCCCATGCTCACTGCTCCCTGCCAGAGCCACAGTACGTGGCCCAGGGGAAGGGAGTTTGGAGGCCCAGAACTGGGTCTCACTTCTGGGACACTGGAGGTCAGGCACCTGTGTGGCTGCGATGGCCCTTGTCCCCCGGGGACAACGGAGGATGTGTGGAGGGGTCTGCAACCGTCAGCCCCCGAGCCCTGGCCTGGCCTGGGGGGAGTATGGCTGTTGCCCCCCGAGGTTGGAGGAGAGGTTTGGGACAGGCCCTGGCCCCAGGGGTCACCAAGCGTGGGCTGTGCCCTCCTCTCAGAGGGCACGAATGCCTCTGTCCCCCCCCCAGCCTTTCCATCCCCTGATAGATGTGTGTGGGGGGTCATCCCGCAAAGCTCCCCGTATGTTGGGAGGGTTTGGGGTCCCCACAAGCATTCCTCCCCCTCCTGGAGGGCACTGCAGGGTGCGGGGTGGGAGACACATGAGCTTCAGGTGGCCCTGGCAGTGCCCACTTGGCATCAAGCCCATCCTCCCCAGCCCCTTCCAGCCGTCAGAGCC